GCTCTCCGATTAAAATAAATAATTAAAATAAACAAACAAAGACAATTTTTTAAAGTTTCCAGTAACATAACTATATAATCAAACTGTGTTAGAAACTTAGAGGGAAATATTTTGAAACAAAAATAAATATCAATTTACAAAATTAACCTTTAGTATGAGTATTTGATAACCAAGTTTGGGTAAAATTTATATATAATACATAATTAAAATGTTATTAGTCAAAAGTCGGTTCCTATATATCTTCAAGCTTTAAATTATTTGAAACCAGATAACGCTAGAGAAACGGCCTGATATAATGTACGTTATACAAACCAATCGAAGTTCGAAGTTCCTTTTCAATTTTATCTTGAATTTCAGGAGAATTTCCAAGAAGCAGCAGGATCCATCGTAATGCTGTTAGTGTAGTATCAACTCCCCCTGTGAGAAACAAATTGAACTAATAACTGGAAACAAAATGGGACTACCTAATGTACAAAATAAAATATAAATAAGAAGGAAAGAGAAGGTAATTTTAAATCACGATAGGCCATCTCAGATTCAAAGTCCAACATAACTCCATATTTGCTCCAAAGTTATTCAACAAATTCTTTGTCAGATTTTAAATTATCGATTTGTAGGTATATTTATACAACTTTTGGCTATCATTTATAATAGGCAAAGCTAAACTGTTGACTATTAGTCCAAAGCTCAAGATTCAGTTTCGTAACCACGCCGCTCGTAGATCTATAGTTTGAAAAACAAACTAAAATATGAAATCTTACATCACGTTGAAACATTATTATGTGACTTTTTGTCACTTAAAAATAAATTAATAAATTAAATATATCAGCTTTTGTTACTTTTCAAATAATAGTTCTGAAGTTTCAGGATCATCTTAGAAAGAAAAAAATTACTGAAATGTATTTCTTACGAAGTTTTATATAAACAGGCATTTTAATATCGAGCCTTAAGATGTAAAATGCTTAAGGTGGCGAAGGATTATTTATTAGTTGGTAACAGGGGTGAAGTTAACATCACAATAATTTTAATCATTCTCTTCTTTAAGTAACCAATCCGGATTTCCAATAATAAAAGGTATAATAGTATTTCAATCATACTTTTATCTATACAACCATCATTTAACAATCTTGTAATCAGTTATGAAAAATAAATCGCAAACTTTTGACGTACACACTCAAAATATTAATGGATGAAGGTGAAGCTTATCATAAAATCAAATTGAACAACTTATCGCTATGTTAAGAAGGGTTAACTTTCAAGCGCTTCTGGTGATGAAGGTTTAAAGTTCTTTACATTGTCGAAATGGTATGAAACTCTGTCATGATATAAAAGACTGTTTAGTTTAGATGTCACTAATTGATTTGTTTTTGTGAGTGAACATTTTATCATTGTTTAGTTTTGTTAATATTTCATTGATGTTAAGACTACTGGTTTGGTTTGTTTTGAATTTTGCGCAAAGCCACACGAGGGCTAATCGCGCTAGCTGTCACTAATTTAGCAGTGTAAGACTAGAGGGAAGGCAGCTAGTCATCACTACCTACCACCAACTCTTAAGCTACTCTTTTACCAACGAATAGTGAGATTGACCATCACATAACAACGCTCCCACGGCTGAAAGGGCGAGCATGTTTGGTGAGACGGGGATTCGAACCCGCAACCCTCAGATTACGAGTCGAGCACCCTAACCACTTGGTCATGCCTGGTCGTTGAACCAGTGAACGTCGTGTGCAATACATTGACGTCGAGAATATAGAAGGCGGACAGACGATTAGGTCATAAAGATATAGAGTGAGACGAGCGGGAAGCAGCACACAGATAATAGCAGAAGAAAGTTACAAAAGGAAAAGTTAACGACCGTAGAAGTGATAGGCCGAACGATTGACATAGGCCTAATGTTTAATATGTTAGGGTAAGTCTAAGAGTAGGAATCGAGATAGAAAATAATGTATTCCGTCAAAGCGAAATTCTAAAGTAATTACATCAGCCTGTGTGCACTTTGACAAAAGAAACAGAGGATCTTCAGAAGAAAGAAGACAAAACTATTACGGTAACTCGCGCCACAGTTGTAAGTCAATCACACACAGAATACTAATGTGATATTAATAGAGAAGATACTTCGGGTTGTCAACTGAAATTCTAAAGTAACTGAATAGGCCTAAGTGAACTTTTGATAACAAAAAGCGAACTATGTATAAATAGTGTTTATGATATGCCTGTAATTTCTATAGTGTGAAGAATTTGTTGTTCATACGTTAACTT